TATTTCCCAATCAGAATAAATGATAATCTCAATATTTCTTAATCAGGATAAATGATAATTTCAATATTTCCTAATCAGAATAAATGATAATCTCAATATTTCCTAATCAGAATTAATGATAATTTTGTACAAAAGGAAAAAGAAAAAGAAAAACAAACTTGCAACTTGTGCTCGATAGTCCATTTGAGCAGCATTAAATATTTCCAATAAATCCGAAAGCTTTTTTAATAATGCTTCAATATGATATTGCCGGATGCGTTCATTAATTCCAGTAATTTTTTCACCTTCCGTTTTTTTCACATCCTGTTTCATTGCTAATAAATTCTTTCGTAATAAACCGGAACGATGCTTTATTCCGGCCATACATTCATCCAGTTTTTCCTTCAATTATTATTTTTTTTTCGAAATTAATTGATTAATGATAAACGAAAATGGGATAATTGTAGTAAAATATTAAATTGTTATTAAAATATTCGTTCCCTCTTTTTTTTTTTTTTTGGACTAATAGAATTAGCTAGCTTATATTTAGATATATTATTAAATAAAATTAAATTGAGATATTCAATGAAAGGTGAATTCGAGTGATTTTTTTTATTACGATTTGAGCCATAAAGCAGTGTATATACTTGGCCCGATAATTGTTTACTACAATTACTTGGCTTTAAAACTATTTGTTGATATATAATACAGTTAATTGGCTTGGAAATTATTTGCTAATATGTACGTACTATACAAATGATGAATGAAGCTATTAAAGCTAAAGAATAAGATAGTTTTGAAAATGAAAATGCATAATGATCGGTCATCGAAAGCTAAAAATGACCAATGGAAAGGAATCACTTTTTTTTTCAGTTAATTTTTTTCACAGCTAAACAAGAAGTTGTCGAAGAAATTAACTTTGAATATCCTATGGTTTTGTTTTTTTAGCATCTGAAATAAATCGGCAAGATGAAAAAGCTCAACAAGTGGACATCTTCAAAATGACCAATGAAGGAAAAAAAAAAAAAATCATCGTTTGGAAATGTCATCATCTTAATCGATTGTGATGTATGACATGAAGTGATTTGTATGCGATAATAGACAAGGACAACAAATCATTTTAATGATTGATGGGAAAAGAATCCTAAAGAACTTTCTGAGAACTTACACCAGAAGAAAAGAGAAAAAAAATTAGTGAACATCACTGATTCAGTTAATTGCCCATTACCGTAGCTTTTTGCAATCTTACTAAAATAATTAAATCTATGAAATATGTTTAAGTCATTTCTAAATACTGAACAAATTGCGCTTCCTCTTATCGCTCAACTTCCGCTTCCATCAACCAATCAATTATCAACTATTACTATCACAACGATCACTTATAAATGATATCAAAAATATATTCCCTAACATTTTACTAATTAATTTAATTAATAACGATCTATTTATTCAAATTTAATTATGTTAATTTACGATTTTATTACCTCAAATTATGTTAATTAATTAAAAATTTCCTACCTTTTCATTGCTATCAACGATAGTTTTAGCTAAAATTGAACATAGCTGCATTTTCATACTTGCAACATCGTCTGATAATTTTGCCATCAAATTTCGAATTTCATCAATTTCAGCAAAAAATGACCCACCCCGTGTGACACTGATATTTGATTCAATATCAATTGATATGAATGCATTATCATCATCATCTGTTGTAAATTGATCAGCTTTTTGCTGTAAAAAAAAAAGAATCTTTTATGAATTTCGAAAAATTTACAAGTTTAAAATTATTATAAACCGGAAAAAAAATGAATTCTAACTTACCTGAAATTGTTTAAATTTAAAAATATTATGTGACAATTTTTTTCTTTTTAATTTCAATGGAATATTTTTAAAATCATAAAATTTTAATTGGAAAAAAATTTTGAATTTTAATTGAAAGATTTAAATTTTTTATTTTTTTTAATTTCAAATCCTAAATTTTAATTGAAAAACAATCAGTCACTTTTATATTCGAATAATTTCGGGAGATTAAATTATTTTGTATGCATATATGAAGGATTACTTGATTAATACTGAATTGTTCATTCAAATAAAATGGATTAAGGATATTAATGAAAGTGTCCCAATGATAGTTTGATGTTTTCGAAATTTGATTAAATTTGATTAAAAACGATTAAATTTGAATTTATATTTCAGTCAACCAGTAAATATCAAAAGTTTTTATTATAGAAATTTGTGAGTAATCAATACGAATAGAATCATTTTTTCAAACTCTTAATGAAAATATGAAAAAAAAAATCAATCAATTAATTATTATTCAATACGTGGTTTTATCAGACATTTGACTACAATTTTCGATATCAAATAAACAATTTATAATAATATATCAGATATATTTAATTAATTAATTAATTAATCAATTATTTATTGATCTATAAAATTTTATTTTTTCAGCCGTTAAAATTCAAAAATTATTTCAAGCATACATAATTATCAATGATTTTTTTTTTTTGAGCAACTGTAAGATTAAAAGATTTTAATAGCAATTAAGCAAGCAATTAATGATTTCTTTCAAAGTAAGGAGAAAAAAGAAACGAATTTATCAATAATTTTAAAAAACAAAAATTTAATTTTGCTTTAATTAAAACGATTCGGCAATAATTTTGATATAATGGAATAGTTATTTAAATGATAAATTCATTGAAAATTGATAAATAACTTTTATATAATAACTTATAATTAACAAATTAATGCTAACATAAACTTACCTTAAATTCATTCGATCGATCTCTTATCATTATCTATGATGAAATAATAATAAAATGATCGATTGACTCGAAATAATATCCCTTCTAAAATTATAAATTTAAAAAAAAAGTTTCAAAATTAAAGAACGAAAAAGAAAAAATTTATTTTTTTATTAAGAAAACGAATAAATGAATGAACGAAAAAGTAAAATGAGAGGAAAATAAGTGACCGGAATAATAATTTTAGTAAAAACAGGTAATTATATAATAGAAATGATCAATTGTCATCCAATATCGTGTGTACATATGTTAGTTAAGGTTGGTGACAGGCAAGTATGTTAAAATTGATGACAGGCAAATACAATGAGAGAGAGAGAGAGAAAGAGGGAGGGAGAGAGGGATGATGATTCGATAAATTTGCTATTGAAATGAAAAAAAAAATTGAGATGTTAGAATGAATGGCCAATCGATTCGTCATCTCTTATGAAATCAGTAAATTTGGGATTCATTGCTGTGCAATTATTTGATAAGTAAATATCAACAATATTGGTTGGTACTATGTTTAGTAGTAAATACTGGATTATATTGAATTTGTTTATTCACCATGGAAACTAATAAATATACGTCCATATATATAATGCAAAACAATAAGAGAAGCAATAATAAAATTAACATTTGCTTCAACAATAAGGAAATAAAGCATTATTATCATTACTATTATTATTATTATTACTATTATTGATTATTATTATTATTATTATTATTATTATTATTATTATTATTATTATTATTATTATTATTATTATTATTATTATTATTATTATTATTATTATTATTATTATTATTATTATTATTATTATTATTATTATTATTATTATTATTATTATTATTATTATTATTATTATTATTATTATTATTATT